GATTGACAGCGGTTGCTGAACCGAAAATCAATTTTTTATCACCATTCTATATGTAACCTCAAATGAATACAAAAAAGTCTCGATTTGACAACTGTTAAAAACAATGTTAAATTTCAAACTACTGCTTAGAAGCTTCCGAATAAATTAGAATTAAAAATTAATTAATCTTTATGTGTGGTATTGGTTGAAATGAAAACGCTTGGTGTCCACGAAATATAATGGATTTAATAATTAAAACGAAGTATACCTTCACTAAAGCTCTCGACATTTATGCCATGGAAAATTCGAAAGATTGTAGGTTGAAGTGGGAAGTTGGTGTCCCAATGGATCGAAGTCACGATACCTCAAGCGATAAAGAGCGGCGTATTGAGTGGAAGGTCGTGGGTTCGAATCCCGCTCGTGACACTGACTTTTTCATCTCAACCAATACCTTACATAAAGATTAATTAATTGAAAGAAGTTAATTGGCCAATCTGTCCACGAAATCTAATGAATTTAATAAGTAAAACGAAGTTATCTTCACTAAAGCTCTCCGTGGTTATTTCATTTGTCGCCGAGAATAGAATCCTGATATCACGATATTCGAAAAATGGCAAAAAGGAAGGAAAATTCGAAAGGTTGTAGATTGAGGTCGAACGTTGGTGTCCGAGAGGATCGAAGTCACGATAGCTCAAATGGTTAGAGCAGAGGCGTACTGAGTCGAAGGTCTTGGGTTCGAAACCCGTTCGTGACACTAGCTTTTTCATTTCAACCAATAACTTACATAAAGATTAATTAATTGAAAGAAGTTATTTGGTCAATCGGACCACGAAATATAAAGGATGTAATTTGAAACAGTCATTCACTAGATACTTAATAATAGGTTACAATTAATTAAAGTTTTTAGTTGAGATAAAAAAAGTCAATTGCACGAGCGGGATTCGAACCCACGATCTTCGGCTTGATATGCCGCTGCTCTACCACTTGAGCTATCGTGACCTCGATCCACTTGGACACCAACTTCCTATCTCAACCCCACCTTTTGAGTTTTCCCTCCTTTTTGCCATTTTTCAATTTATTTTAGTTGAGATAAAAACCTTAATTAATTGTAATGTATTAATTGGTCAAGCGGACTACGAAATTAGTGAATTTAATGAAATAAAACGATGTATAATTCACTAAAGCTCTCCGTGGCCATTTCATTTGTCGCCGAGAATCCAATCCGATTACATGACATTTGAAAAATGGCAAAAAGGAGGGAAAATTCAAAAGGTGGCGTTGAGATAGGAAGTTGGTGTCGGAGTGGATCGAGGTCACGATAGCTCAAGTGGTAGAGCAGCGGCGTATCTATCCGAAGATCGTGGGTTCGAATCCCGCTCTTGCCATTGACTTTTTTATCAACTAAAAACTTTAATTAATTGTAATGTATTAATTGGTCAAGCGAACCACGAAATTAGTTAACTTAATAATAGGGTACATATTCCCTTATGCAAAAATAATAAAAATTCCACTTTTACAAAATTAAAAAGTCATCAGGTGAGTTTTTACACGATTTTATTTTTACCAGCAGACGTTATAAAACGTTAGAGAATCTGTTTGGCGCTGGAACTAAAAAAAGTTTTATTCAAACAAACTCTATTATGGAGTTCCATAGCTTGCACTGTACTACTTTAGACAAAATATTATAAAACGTTGTTAAATTATAACTCTCTTCATTTATTATCTCCTATTCTCCACTGCAAAGGCTAGCGTTTTGTAAATTTTCGCACAAACAACTGATATATTTATAACTGAAATAGTTTTTTATTTTTTTATATTTTTTTTAATTTGTAGTACATTCCAACTCCCTTCAAGTAGGTAACAAGTCACGATAAGAAAGGTAAATATACAAAATTAAAAGAAAATATCCATTGGTATTACTCCAATGCTACTAAATATTGTCTGTTTAATTGATCCTTATGTCATTATCACTTTCACTATCATCACCGTCACCTCGTAGGAGATCTCGCGGCCTGTCTCTTCAGTCAGCGGGGAAGGTTTGTGGGGATTCGTCGGGATGCGAGGTGTCTGATATGCTGATTTACGGTAGTTGGGAGGTTTTGATTATTTATTTGCGGGAACGGGAACAGATTTCATCTTGAACGAAACGGATATGTAAGTCTGTATGAGCAATTCGGTTCAATACATAAAGTGGAGCATCTAGCATTTTCGTAGTATTAAGGACTGGGCAGTTTGAATAAGGTGGATGTTGGAATGTTTGGCTGAACCCCACACTTCCAGTTCGATCCATACCGGCTTAGCTATGGTGTGTAAAGCAGCCTTTTATTTTTGAGAGATAAATTAGAACGTTTATCAATAAGTCATGCAAGAACTCTATATCGTGTTATAACCTCCTGACGTTTCGGTCATGGTGAGGATTCCACGTCTGGCGTTTGTCGATGTACGTCCGAAATACCAAACTTGTCCGCAGTTGGGAGGGGAATATTATTTAAGAAAACAGGGGGCGGGGAAATACAGAGAAGGTAATGTGGGCGGATTTGTCTGTTCTAAATTTTATCCTTTTTTTTTCACCAAGTCTCTAGTAGTGCGAGGTGTTGTTGGAAGTTTCGAGTGGAAACGACAAGGTCGGAGTTGCTAGAGAGAATTGCTTATCGTCTGCAAATATGAATGTGTAGGTTTCGGGATGTGATGGCATAATATAAATCAGTAGTTTGTCCTCGTTATCAACCAGAGTACATCCAAATATAGTTTGTGGTATGCTCGTTTTTGATAATCCTGCACTACTGATGTTCGTTGTAATAATGTAATTATAATATATTGTAACCCTAAAAAAAAATAAACTGAAGAACAAATTGAGGAAAAATTATTGAAATGACTCATGAACCAATTTAAGTATTGAAAGCAAACTTTCAGTTTACAAGACAATGATGTCCTCTATTATCTTTTGGTTATATAGATTCATCCAACATTTACAGTCCCTTCTATCTCAAAATTTTCTATAATTTCGCAAAAAATATCACAAGTTTTCCTATCAAACGAATTAAATTATGACTAACTTCAATAGAAAAACATCCCGACCATATTGCTATATTTTTTCTACTGGACCAGCTTACATTTGGTACAATTATATTTATAAAATTCATTATATTTCGTTGTCTGATTGACCAAACAACTTCTTTCAATTAATTAATGTTTATGTAAGGTATTAGTTGAAATGAAACTGTTAGAGCGGGATTCGAACCCACGACCCTCGGCTCAATACGCCGCTGTTCTAACCAATTGAGCTATCGTGACAGCTCGAAGGTTCGACTCCCGTTCGTGATACTAACTTTTTCATTTCAACCAATACCTTATATAAAGATTAATTAATTCAAAGAAATTAAATTTGCATTATATTTATAATTGAAAAATAAGTGTGTGGTCATTAGTGACCGTTAATCGATAATTATTCAGAAATCGTGAGATGTGGTCTGGTGTGATGTAGGTTTCAGAAAAACATTTTCATCAAATACTTTGATTGAATATGCAAAATATATTTTGCATGAATGTGTACGTTTGGGGATGTGATGGCATGTCAGCTGTGAACACCTGGTAGTGTGGGGGCCACAACGCAACCCTGAGGAACACCAGCGTGAATAGGGAAACATTCAGAGAGGGAATGGCCATCGACGACTTGGAAAAGTCGCTTAAAAACTTTATACAGAATAATTTTGCTTGTTGAATAGAAATAGATTAAGCTCGCGTCATTTTTTTAATAAAGAAATTATTTTTCTCAAATAATATTCCTGCTCAAGGTTGAACGTCATGATTATTTTAAGCCATATGTATTTTAGTTGGTCCTATTTAACCAAAGTAATGATTGAAATTGCTTTAACATTTTTATGTAAAGTGTGGTTGAGCTAAAAAATTAGTGTCAACAGCGAGACTAGAACTTCCGGCTTTTCTGTTCCGCTCGTGACACTAATTATAAATCAATTTAAATCTTTACTTTAGTTACATAAGACTTACTAAAATACATTCGGATTAATATAATAATTTCTGAAGTACCTGCATTTCGCTAACATCTTCGACGTGTCAATTTCATGAGTGGCAGGATAATCGAAGTGATCACACGAAATTTCAATGTAAGGCAAAAAAGAGGGAAATTTGAAAAACTTGCATGGAGAGGCATGTGTTGTTCCGGAGTACCGATGTCACGACAATTCAAGCTGTTAGAGGACCGATGTATACAGCCGGAGGTCGTGAGTTCGAGTTCTTGACGTTAATTTTTCATTTCAACCACACATTACATAAAATTATAAATCAATTTACAACATGATTATTTATGTGTGGTGATTAGTGACCGTTAATCGATATTTATTTAGAAATCGTGAGATGCGTTATGGTGTGATGTAGTTTCAGAAAAACATTTTCTTTATCGTGCCAACGTTTCGATCTTTATTGAGATCATCTTCAGTGCCTGGGATTTACAAACATTGTTTACATATAACAATTCACTTTTCCACATCCAAAATGTAATTGTTATATGTAAACAATGTTTGTAAATCCCAGGCCCTGAAGATGATCTCAATAAAGATCGAAAGGTTGGCACGATAAAGAAAATGTTTTTCTGAAACCTACATCACACCAGACCGCAACTCACGATTTCTAAATAAATATGATTATTTATGTATATTTAGTGTTTGTTTTTAAATGAAATTTCAAACTTTAGAAATGATATTACTCGAACATTTTACGGGTGGTATGACTTGATTTTTATGTCATTGACACAAGAAAACAATACTTACGTGACAGCACACATAGTTGAGACACGACCGAACGGATTTTAGGTATTTTTCGTATTTGTTTGTTTTTCCTTTATTCTGAGTTTTTTTTTATTCTAGTCACGCGGCTTTAATAATTAATCGACCCTAGGGAACGACCGACTCTCCGTGGAATTCTAAAAGGACTCGTTATCTCAGGCCGCGATACCGCGAGTCACCTGTTATCACGGGTCATCGAGCTTAGTCTCATTATCTCACTTGTTGAAATGGTGTGGCACGTGAAACGGCTAAATTGCTCCTTTCGACCGGGTTGAACGCTCGGTGTTTTTCCAAATTTCCGCTTTGACGGATACAGGTGGGAAAAGGTTGATAGCTGACAACAACGGACGTCACCTGAAAAATAACAACATTAATTGCGAAACACTGGTCATAGTAAAAATATAAAAAACGCTTTTAAAGAGTATAGAGTAATCGGAACGTATACAGCTTTCAAATCGCATTTCCAACCGTTTACTCTACTACGAAACGCATCGGACAGGCGAAAATATCAAGAACAAGAGTACGAGTTCATCACCACCCCCAGATCTCAGGAATAACTTTGTAATTTGTTCTTCACTGATCAGTTGTATAGAACATCAAACATCAATGAAATTTAATTATTTAAATTTTTACTATCTTTAACTTAGCTACTCCGATATTTATCAAGTAACAAGCATTGCTTGATGTTTGAGTTGTCCGTCCTCTTCTATTAGGACCACATGTCCGAGCTAATCATGAAATTTTTTAAAAATAGGTTTTAAAAAGTCCTGAAGAAGGCGTTAAATACTGCCTCGACCTTCGAAAACAAGTTGATAGGAATTGCCTCGTTTATTTTATGTCTTTCCATTGTTTTTCCACGTACCACTGATATAAACTGCTCAAAAATGAATTGCCTAGAAATTTTATTTTATTTTTATTATAAATTGCATTAAAATTTATTAGAAATTACTGTGCTTTTTACTGAAGGAAAATTTAATTAAGAAATTGTGAAAAATAAAATGAAAGTTTTTAATTCCATAAATTTGTTTAATGGGCGCAATAATTGTTTTTAAACAATTAATACCGTGTATAATGTCCTCTGTTAGCCAAAACCTCTGTGCCCCTTTTAGGCATACTGTTAATAAGGTTGTCACTAATTTCATAAAGAATTTTACACCATTGATGTTTGACAACGCTGCACTCAGTTTTTGCAGGCTAATTGGCTGCGGATGGTGATCGAAAAAGTCATCTCTACGATGGGATTTAGGTCTGGGGACAATGAGAGAAGGGGCAGATCAGAAATTTCCAGGTTTTCTAAACATTGATGAGGAACTCTGCCCCTAAAAGGTCATTGTGATCCAGAAATCATAATCCCTGCCAATGAGATTCCTGGTATGAGTGATGTATTCCTCGATGCTTGGACATAACGGACTGCGGTGAGGTTGCTTTCAACAGTATGGATCCCAGTTCGTCGTCCAGTTTAAATCCCAGCCCAGACCATTACACGGCCTCCTCCAAACTGCACTGAAATTATCACGAACTGGGGCATTGTACGCATCCCCTGTTCTCGGAAGATTCTTCGGCTCCTGCTATCACTATACAGTCAGAAACCGACTCATCAGTAAACATAACAGCATTGCAACTGGCGCTTTTCTAAGCGCTTGCTGCACCATATATCAGCAGCACATGCGGGTTAGGGTACCAGATCCTGTCTGCATAAACGGGGGAGGATGCTAACCAGTTGTACGACGGGATAGCCCAGTGTCTTCAGTTCCAAGCCCAGTTGCGTGCTATATAGGAATTGATTCGTCATTGGCCGTAAGTGAGACCTGGTGGGTACTTAGAGAAGAACCATCTTCCGGTGCTGCCCGCAAAGGCTTCCTTTACCGAAGGCAGTCTCCTCTCGGAGGTGGTTAGAAATTCCACTTAAACGTAACCGCGGCCGGAGCGTATCCGGTAGTTTCGTCACTAGCGGGGCCCCTACACTCAAGAGATAGAGTTGATGATGTGTACGAGTGATATATTCCACGATAATTGCACATAACGGACTGCGGTGAGGTTGCTTTCAACAATATGGATTCCAGTTAGCCCTCCAGACTTGCCGGACCGTCATGTTCTTCATTTAGGATTAGGCGGGCACTAGGGAAAGGGTTTCGTTTTGCAGCAATGACTATACTTCTATCTTCCTGCGCTGAGATGCACTATCAGGCCTCCTTTTGGCACTTCCAGTCTCTCTGGAGACCACGCTCTGAGAAACGCCGACAGTCTTTGCAATATCCTCTTGCCAGTAACCTCGAAGACTCCTGCTCACAACAACATTGCGAACTTCTGGTTCAAGTTGATGTTTTTTCTATTTTTAAAGAGAATACAACTAGATTCAAATATAGAAAAGACGAGAAAAGGTGTTTGTTTACAAAATGAGTAATCACCATGTTTACTATTCTTAAGTAAATACGTTATTAAAAATTTGGATTAAGAAATTTTTAGTTTTTGGTTTGTATTTTCTATTTTGTTTTATCCATCTAACACTAATAAATCGGTTAAATTAATTAAAATTAATAGAATAAGAATAAATTATAAACATCCCTATTATTTTTTTAGCAGTTTAGTTTCACGCATTATACGGGTCGGCATAACTTTCAGACCTGTCTCGGCTGATAGAGAAGACAATAGATCAAAAACGTTCCGAAGGACGTGTCGCCCATCACGTCTCAACTTGAATAAATTAAACTTTGTGTGGTATGACGGTTGATGGTCGCTTTAAAAGGATTGAGAAATATAATTACGTGATCTAAATATATAAATAGTTTCTTTCCTTTATTGTCTAGCTTGATAATTTGATGGAGCAGTGGGTGGAAATGTGTATAGTTGAAATAGAGTAGAAATGCTCCATTTCTACCAAGCATTCCAGTTCAATTTTTTTTTTGTAATTCTGAAAATATATGTATTTTTTGAATACTTAAATATACAGGTTGCAATGACAATTCTTTTTAATTTTCTATGTCACATTGTTAGACTATAAACCTATAACGTACCTGCTTCGGCAGAGAGCTCAAGTAAAAGTTGAAAATATCACGAAATTAAAAACGAATTCCCATGGCGACCTGGCTGTTCCAATTTTCAAAAATACCTATATTTCCCCTAATAAATAAAAAAGTATTTAATAATAAAATGATTTCTTTTTAATGAAAGACCTTGATAAATCCATTTTGTATTCAAGTTCAATAAAACGTTATTCAAATATGAATATAAGTTCAAGAACAACTAGATAAAATTTAAAAACAAGATATGACCGAAGGAACAAAAATAACCTAGAAAGTACTTTAATTGCTGAGCGTTTTATGTTTCACAATCTAGGTAAAAAATAACTTTTTATTTATTTTTAAAGTGTTTTTTTACTTTATTATCTACATAACTGTATATATTATGTATTATATAAAGCAGTTATATATCATTATCTTGATTATAGTCAATAGATGTCGTACAAATTATTTGTATGACAATGATTTATCCATTAAGGTGATACACAAGGAAGCTTCGGACCTCCCTTTACAAGCAGTAAAATGAACTTATAGAGAAAGCTAACCAATGGAATCCACTCTGGGTAAACCATTCACGAGGTCTCTGATCCATATTCTCTCCAGTCGTCTACTGGATAATTGTGGAGAGTAGTTTATTTCTGTGTTAGTGTGATTTTGTAATTTACTGTGAAAACGTTTGTAAAATGTTTTGATTGAGGAAAAACAGTTGACTTGTGAAATCTATGTGAAGGATGTACATAAGAAGGGGCAGAAACAGTCGTAAAATCTTTGATTGAAAACTTAATGATATTTTAATTCAATATTAGAATATTTTGCCGATCCGTAAGCCAATAGGTTTGAGTAGGTACGTGTATGTCGAAAGTTTTGAATTTTTTTTTAAATTTAGAAATCGTTAGATGCGGTCTGGTGTGATGTAGGTTTCAGAAAAATATTTTCTTTATCGTGCCAACGTTTCGATCTTTATTGAGATCATCTTCAGGGCCTGGGATTTACAAATATTGTTTACATTTAACAAATACACTTAGGATGTGGAAAAGTGAATTTATATAATACAAAATATATTTTTTATATTCAATCAAAGTATTTCTACTAACTCAAAGTGTTTGTCTTCTGTGTAATTGTGCCATTCTTGCGTGTCGTGTCGAGAGTACTTTGAGTGAGTAGAAATACTTTGATTGAATGTATAAAATATATTTTGCATTGTATAAATTCACCTTTCCACATCCAAAATGTAATTGTAATCTGTAAACAATGTTTGTAAATCCCAGGCCCTGAAGATGATCTCAATAAAGTTCGAAACGTTGGCACGATAAAGAAGATGTTTTTCTGAAACCTACATCACACCAGACCGAATCTCACGATTTCTAAATAAATATCGATTAACGGTCACTAATCACCACACATTGTGAATTTTTGTTTTTCTATACAGTAGGTAATAAATTTTTAATTTTTTTTTTTTTTTTTTTTTTTTTTTAAAAGCTAGTCTTCTGTCAAATCTAAGTGTTAAAGAGGTAACTTGGTCAGATTCTCGTTAGATGAAAATAGGTTGAAATTTGCTGCTTTCTCACTAGAAAAATCAAACGTGTCGCATCTAATCCAGCGCAAACCCAACAGCCTTCTTCCAGTAGAAGTCTCCTTCCTCCTCCCTTTAGTGGCTTGTCGAAGGGCTTTGGGGCGGCCCTTATAAATTGCACTGTGATAAAGTACAATTAAAATCGAGAGAAATATCCCCTAGTTGCTTGCGATTTGCTTTCAGCAGGAGCTCCCACGCGTTTATCAACCGCCAGATTTTACCGCATCATTTTTTAATTGGCAACGCCTACACGATCGGGGGCCGGAATCTGGTAGCAACGATGATAAAAATCGGGAAGAAGTTGGAACGGATCTCCACTCCAGATAATCACATTTGGTATGAAATCCTTTTGAAAAATTAACACCGCTCGACGATCTCGGGCGGCTGGTGTAAGGGAAATTTGCATTGGAGATAAGCCGGCTCTGGACGTCTCCCTTTAATTGATACAACTTAAATATCGTTGTAAAGCCTTCCTGTCGGATTAAGTTTTTAAAAATAGAAAAAATCGACCCCTTTTGATTTTTTTTTAACCAGGAAATGTTATTGGCCATAATCGGGTATTTCGCATTATGAGGCAGCAAAGAGGAATTTATTAAGAGGCCGACTTTATGAATCATAAAAACATTAGCGAAGAATTAACCCCTGCATTTTAACAGCACTTAATTCTGTTTCACCCTAATCCTGCGGTGTAAATTAATTTACAGTTAGTTTTAAAATTCCATATAATCAACAATTAATTACCTTTAATCATGATCAATATT